TACAGGAATGATCAGTACCAAGTCTAGTTGTGCATATTGTCAGCATTTTCCGGTTCAATGATTTTTGTCAGAGTTATGGCCCTTTAATAATTTTTATTTTTAAAGTTTGTCCGGACTACTTCTCTTATACCACTAATGCAATTTCAATGAAACTTTACAGGATTGATCTGTAGCTCAAGTCCTTGCGCATATTGCACGGGTTTTCCGGTTAAATGATTTTTGGCCGAGTTATGGCCCTTTGATAAAAAGGTATTTTTTTCTGTGTGTTGCCAGATACGCAAAAGCTTGTCCGGACTACTCCTCATAAACTACTGGTGCAATTTTATCCAAACTTTACAGGAATGATCAGTACCAAGTCTAGTTGTGCACTGTCCGTCTGTCTGTCTGTCACAAAATTTGTCCCAACATGAAATTGGCCATCATGAGGCGACACATGTGATTACTGATCGCTCTTGTTTTTTTCAAAGCAGTACTTTATAAGAATATCTAAATGATATAACGTTATTTCTTTTGTTTTTATCAGTATTTGAAATTCTTGTGAAAAATATACACATTGTAGACTATTTCACTTTAAATCGCTGTTAATTTGCTCCCAACTGCGTCGTAACATTTCGATAAGCCCCGCTTCGAGTTGCAAGTTCGCTATAACTTTTGTTTTTAGCTCACCTGAGCATATGCTCAGGGTGAGCTATTAGGATCGCTCTTCGTCCGTCGTCCGTCGTCCGTTGTCCGTTCACACTTTTAAAACGACATCTCCTCTGAAACCATAAGGCAGATCATAATGAAACTTCACAGGGATGTTTCTTGTGTGAAGCCTTAACAAAGTTGTTCAAAGAATTCCATTCCATGCAGAACTCTGGTTGCCATGGCAACCGAAAGAAAAAACTTTAAATATCTTTTTTTTTTTAAAAAACCCAAAGAGCTAGAGCTAAGATATTTGGCATGAAACATCTTCTAGTGAGTGTCTGCCAAGTTTGTTCAAATAAAAGCCCTGGGGTCAAAATTGGCCCCGCCCCAGGGGGTCTTTGATTTTCCCTATATGCATATAGTAAAAAAACACTAAAAACTTTAAAATATTCTTTTAAAGAACTCAAAGAGCTAGAGCTAAGATATTTAGCATGAAACATGTTCTAATGGGTGTCTACCAAGTTTGTTAAAATAAAAGCCCTGGGGTCAATATTGGCCCCGCCCCGGGGGTCATTGATTTTCCTAAAATGTGTATAGCAGAAACTTAAAAATCTTCTTTGAAAAAACCCAGATAGCTACAGTTTAGATATTAAGCATGAAACATCTTCTAGTAAGTGTCTACAAATTTTGTTCAAATAAAAGCCCTGGGGGTCAAAACTGGCCCTGCCCCAGGGGTGTCATTGTTTTTAACTATATGTGTATAGTAAAAACTTAAAAAATGTTCTTTTAAAAAACCAAATGAGCTAGAGCTTAGATGTTAAGCATGAAACATCATCTAAAACGTTACTACCAAGTTTGTTCAAATAAAAGCCCTTCGGTTAAAATTAGCCCTGGGGGGGGGGGGGGTTTGAAGGGAGGAGGTCATTGTTTTTCATTATATGTGTGTAGTAAAAACTTAACATCATGAAACATCTTCTAATGGGTGTCTTCCAAGTTTGTTCAAATAAAAGCCCTGGGGTTTAAACTAGCCTCGCTTCGGGGGCCTATATACAGGTGAGCGACCTCAGGGCCATCATGGCCCTCTTGTTCAAAATAGTTGTGCAAGCAACATATACCGAATGAAGCGGAAAATAGTGGAGCGTGTTAATACATATATGTGGTTTTCAGTCATTTCCAAGAAAAAGATTTATAAACAAAAACATACCTATTTCGTTCCAAGATGGCAGCATTACATTTTGTAGGATACGACGCAGTTTTGATTCCCAGCCCTGATACTGTTGAAGGAATAATTTTGCATTTTGATATTGAAACATCGCTTTTGCGCATGGATTGTTCCAAATTCAAACATTGGAAAATCCATTTCACAAATTTAACAGGTCTAGTGTTAAACTTAAAAGTTGGCATAAGTTAAGACATTATTCTAATAGAATAACTAGATATATAAATTATAGTTCACAATAAATTACGAAAGACCAGTGGGGACATTTCAACTTCTTAAATTATTAGGTTCATCTTCACGAATTCACAATTTCAGCTTCATGAGTTCACGATTTCAACTTCATGAATTCACTTTTACGATTTCAACTTCAAGAATTCAGCTTCATGCTGTCAAGTTTGAACTTTAAATTTTCAACTTCGTGAAATCATGAATTTCAACATCGTGAATTCACAACGTTGTAATCTTGAATTCATGAAGTTGGTTTAAACATATATACATTTAATATTTACAAAAAACATTTTGGGATGGGGCAGAAAGCTATAAAAGCTTACGAGTGTCCTCTTTCAAATTCGTGAAATTGGAATCGTGAAGTTAAAGTAATTAATTCATGAAGTTGAATTCATGAAGTTGAATTCATGCAGTTAAAATCGCGAAGTTGAATTCAAGTTGAAGTCTTGAATTCATGAAGCTGAAATCGTGAATTCACGAAGCTGAAATCGCGAATTCGTAAAGTTAAATTCGTGAAGTTGAAATTGTGATTCATGAAGTTGAAATCGTTAATTCATGAAGTTGAAAACGTGAATTTACGAAGTTAAAGTTCTGCATTAACGAAAATGAAATCGGAATTTTATGAAGATGAAATGTCCCCACAGGTCTTTCGTAGTAAATGGATGACAACTTTTTAACTTAATATTGTACTTAAAATATACACTATAAATTTGTTTAGATAACAAACCAATTTGAATTAGGTCACTGATTAATAAATTTGAATATATAGGTTTTTTTTTTTTAAATTCAACAAGATTGGTCGATGATTCTATGTTCTATTTGACGGAATAAAAATATAACAAACTAGTTTTAGATGTTTTAAAATTATTGATTTCAAGGCTTAACATCTTTTAGTTTTATTTAGTAGAAAATAGGCTTTATTATCGCCTTTTATACTTATTTTTTTCTAGTATTCACATAAAAAACAAGCATAAACATAATTCAGAAAAACAATATATCATTGTTAAGTTGGAGTCATGAAAAATATACAACATTTATTATATACTTATAAATGAATCATTAAGAAATATTCATGAAATAAAATGCTTATTTTCATTTTCCGTATTTTCACTGTGAAATATTTATTCTTCACTGCAGTGAAACATATTTTCCGTATTTTCACTGGTGTCTTGTCTGACTATTTTCTTCTAAATTGAGCCAATACACAAAAATTAAGGGAAAGTCTTTAAAATTATAAATGTTAAAAAATGTATATAATAAATAGAAAATTCATTTTTTTTCTATAAATGCAGGATTTATTTTCATCTTGTGGTATGAAAATTATCCGCGCAGTCTGATCAGGATTCATGCTGTTCGCTATCAGTTTCTCTACTTGTATAATAGAGTTGGTAAGCGAACAGCATGGATCCTGATCAGACTGCGCGGATGCGCAGGCTGGTCTGGATCCATGCTGGTCGCAAACCCATTATGTTGGTTTTGTCGTGACGCGGCTCATATATTTTTGTTGATATGAGAAGTTTGAAATAAGACACTTTTGTAAAAAGAAGAAATTAACATAACAATGTGCAGTCTTTGATCGCATTCCGTAAATAAACAGTTTCCTATGACAAGAAAACGACCCTAATTATTCTATTGTCTAGGATAATTGCGTCTATTTACTGTATTATATTGCCTTGTACAATAGTATCATTTGATGGTCATAAAGTGTTCCATCACAAATTATCCGTAATGACAATCGATTCATTCCGTTTGATGACGTAGTATTAACGTTTATGACTTCAGATTTCTTCGATTGTTATTGTAGGGATTTTATAGAACTGCATTTTGACTGCAAGAAAATACGAGATATCTAAACAGGAGTAATGTTGCAACGAAGTTTTTATTTTCTCACAAAAACAAAGCATTTCTTTCAGCTTTGTATTTGAATATTGTATGAATTACAATATGTTAACCACCCTATGCCTTAGCAAGCACCATATGAAAAACTAGATCATTATACCTTATTTGAACGTTGCGAATTTAGAATTTGATTTTGATATGTCTTCCATGTAAAGAAAAATTATGTCTTTAGGGATCGGATACTGCATTCAATATATGATGTATGTGTGTATATCATTTGCAAGGCAAATAATTTGAAAGTTATAGCTAGACACATAATCTAAAGAAGGCTTTATCAATTTCATAAGTAACTGTCACAAAAAAAAAATATGTATTGGTGCCTTTCCTTCTACTCAGAAACAAACAAACAACAACAACAACAACAGAACAAATACTTTTATTTACAATCAGGTGACATAAGTACCACAACATGATCAAAAAGGTTGTTCTTATTGTGGGCTTTTCAATTATTTCAATTATGTTTTCAAAATATATTATACCAGTATATAGTTTTTGAAATATTCCGTTTACGTAATGACATTTAGGCTAATTTGACATTACATAATGATCATAATTATAATGCGCTCGATTGACGTTCTCTTGTTGTACCAGAAGTAAAACAAAAATGAGCCGTGTCATGACAAAACCAACATAATGGGTTTGCGACCAGCATGGATCCAGACCAGCCTGCGCATCCGCGCAGTCTGATCAGGATCCATGCTGTTCGCTTACAAACCCTATAACAAGTAGAGAAACTGATAGCGAACAGCATGGATCCTGATCAGACTGCGCGGATGCGCAGGCTGGTCTGGATCCATGCTGGTCGCAAACCCATTATGTTGGTTTTGTCATGACACGGCTCAAATCAATTACTAGATTTAAAAAAAGTATTTAATTAACCATCTTTTACTAGTTTGAAAAAAAAGTTAATTAACCGCACTTGTATTTGCTGAAGGAAAATGTACTTAAACTGCCCGCATATGTGTTCACAATGTACAATGTACTATTAAAGTCTATGATTAAGTTTCTTCTTATTTCTGTATTTCAGTTATTCCATACTGGTTCGCAGCTGTTCGTAAAGGAATTTTACCTAGATCAGGCAATACATTGGTGTGTGTTTTCAACAATGATAATTAGTGATATGTTATAAATCATTTTATTCGGTCTTACATTTTATAAATAGATTTTTTCTGTGACACACGCTTTCACCTAATTGGCCTTTCTGTTTTAACGGAACTACAATATGTAATATAAATTTTAGATTCTTGTCATATCGCAAGAAGTAAATTACATGCACTTGATTATCAGGCTTATTCCTGACCTTTTATTGAGCATAAAAAAGTTTCCTCTTGAGGTACATTAAATTATATTTAATCTTAACTTATTTCAATATATGAATAAATAAAAAAGAAAAACAAGCAAAAGAAAAATATCATGCAACGATAATTAAACTCGGTAAATGACATTGTTTCAGGTACATATTGACGGACATTCTGATCTGGCACCTCCCAGATTTATCCCCGGTTATCCAACATTCAAGATGCCACACGAGAAAGATCTTAGATATCTTATGCAGTCAAATGACGTTTTCATACAGGTAAAATAAATTTTTCTTACTATGGTTTTTGGACCTAATGAGTCAAGAAATAAATGGTGCAACATCCTTTCGACCAAGAATAAGTTCTGTGTAATACGTTGTACATAAGTGACCAAAAACAAAACGAGTGGTAGCAAGAACCACAAGCATAGTGCTCAAAGGGAATCCAGAGCAAGTACAAATAAACGCCAAACGATAACGGAATTAAGAAACTGTCTAGTGGTACAATATAAACACAAAACGTTGATTCCAGTATCGTTTGTTTAATACATTAATTATGTTTTCGGGTGCAACTTTTGTTAACTGGATAACTTTAAAGAGACTCAATCGAGGTTTTTTGTCGACATGGGACTAGATTTTTTTCGAATTGTTTGATTTGGGTCTGAACCAATATCATGTGTGCAAAATTTCAGGTCATTCGTTCATTCAGTTTTTTTTATTCCAGAATAATCTTTTTAATTGTGCAAAATGACCACAACTTTAACAGCGTTTTAACGCCTTTAACTTGAATCAGGCGTGAATGCACGCAATTTTTATATTATAATTGAGACATTTAGATATTAGCGAAATTCCTTTAATTTTATGATTGGTATTTTTTTCAACTAATATTTTACATTATTAAGTTAGAACAGACTAGAATTCTCAAGACAATTTAGCTGTTCATTACAAGTTTTCTTATTTTAGAATTATAAATAATTACATATTTATTTAAGATTTATATCCGTTTGGTTCAAAATTACCATCCCATCAGGTTGTTTTGTCCAATCTAGCTCTTAAACAAGTAAAAAATCGTAATGGTTCTTAATAAATGTGAATGTATGCTGTTAAAATGTTTATTGTATATAGCTATTCTCATTTTTGCTGCGCATATTTCTGCCGTCCAAAATTTGTCCGGTATTACAAATTCTGCATTTTTCTACTTTCACAGGCATCAGCAATGACTGGACTTGTCAATCGTGTGATCTGGGTGTGGCCGGATTGGGATCAATCAAATCATGACTCTAATTACTTTATGTCCACTATTAGTCTCGGAATGGTCATGACCGGGCAGAAAACTAAACCAGCCAGAAAAGAGTTCTGCGCATGTCTGAAAAACGAAACGCGATTTGAATGCCGAACAATTGCTAACATCAGCAGGCAAGCAAACTATAGCGTAGAGGATGATTATTTCACAATTCCGAGGAGTATGTGTAAAATAATGAAAATTCTCATAGTAGAAGAAATTCACGAGTTCAAGGCACTCAGCTTTTTTGGAAAGAGTGACTGGATTGCGGAAAGCGAAAATATCATCCTAGATATTGACGAGGACTATTTTGGATGTAGTTATGCGATACAGCCTCTGTTGAAATCTAATTTAAGTTTAAGCAAGATCGTTAAGTTAGACAATCTGATTGCAGCTCACTTATGTCCGACCTCCTTCTCTCACGAAAAGGAATCGGACAAATATTTAGTGGATATTCTAGCTGTTGCACGGACAAAACGTGCTTGTATTAAAGACAATAGATTGAAACATACGGACAGGTGTAATGAGACAGCAAATGTTGACTTGTTAAAACATTTCAAACATAAACTCGAGAGATTAGTTTCGAATAACATTGTACGAATGTGTTCAAAATACGACAATGCCTACGCGTTTGCTCATAGTTTAGTGACTAAAATAGCTACTTATAGCATTAACCAAATACGAGCACTTCAGGAAACAGGATTCTGTTCACATACATCAACAAAAACTTTCAGAACGGATCAAAACACTCCTAGGTTTGGCATTTGTAAAGGGTCAAACACGCCGGAAGATACGGCTGTTTTGGAGCACACGCCGACGCTGACGGAACTAGCGACTAGATCTGTTTTATTAAAAGGGTTGCTTAAGAAATTAACCGATCATTCAGTGAAATTAGTGACGGTGTCACGTTCTGTTAGAGATGGATATACGCCGAGACAATTTTTTGAGCGAATAGAGGCAAACGTTCTGAATGGGTTAAATGAGTCTTTCCACGGCCAAATAGATTTGCACTATGACCGTGAATTACTCGGCGGGAAGCCAGGATGGCCTGCGAGACACAAAGCATAGTTCCAAACTCTGTGATTATGTGTGTGCGCTCAATATACCACACTATTTGTGATATACTTTGGTAGACTGTTTATTGGTTAAATCTTGCCAAACGTACATTGTATTTCAATTGTTTTTTTTCTGTGCAAGTGCGATGCTAGTTCTACTTAATTGAAGGAATTATTGGAGGACGGTAATTACTTTTTTTACCAGTTAAACCAAAAAATGATATATGGCACACTATTTATAGTCAGGGGAAAATAGTGATCAGGAAATCCGAAGCATAATTATGTCAACTTCATATTTATTTATTCTTAAAATGTTTTAATTGGTCTGTCTTGTGTCTATTTAGTATGAAGGTAAAAATTACGTTCAACCTTTACTGTCTAAGAAGAGGATAAATTCTTTATGGAAATGAGAAAGCAATATATTCTTTTTAATATAAGACCATCGGCCTAATAAAATAATTGTCAGATATATGTAAATATGGTATATTATCTCTATGATATATAACTTTGGTTATGTAAAAATTACACATTATTGATCACCTAGAAAAATCTCTCGGTATACAATTCATTATGTCTATGAAAAAAAAACTACGCTAATATCTATATTTATGTAAAAACATTAACCAACTAAAACCGGAAGTGATTTGTCATTGACGTTAGTACAGAGCCATGTCAGTCAAACACGGCCGTGTAGTTAGACCAGGCTCTATACTGTTATTTAACTATCTAGATTTTCCAAAACGATAATGGACAATTCCATTTCGTCACCTTAGTGCAGTAATGGGTTAACGCCTTAGACGATTTTATAGGAGTTAACCCGTTACTGCAATAAGTTGACGATTTACAAAATTAAGCCGGTTAGGTGTTGAACTAATCCGTTATTAACAATAAAAGGAAATATCACTTTGATGTAAAAGTTGATCCTGATGTACACGTTACCATAAAGTCGTCTGCTGGGCTTGCTAGTAAATGTATGCATATCATTCACTGTATAATCATTATGTTCAGTTTTAGCTTTAAAAGCTTACTGTATCATGGGAGGATGGCGGAATGTTACACGGAGGATGGAGTTATTATAATAACTTGTCAGTTCGTCTGATAACTGTCACGGAGTTCCTGGAAACCGTTACGGATTTCGTTGAAAAACTTTTGTATATACCGAAGAAACACTGGTAAAAAATGGAAATTTTCAATCTTTAAAAAGATAGTTTGAGGTACTGAATTAAACTTTGATAAAAAACCTTGCCTTACATATTGTATTATATGTCAGAAAAAAAACTTTATAGTCTATTTTTCATCGCCTATTGTTAAAAATCTGGTAGTTTTGAGTACATTTACCAAATTGTTGCTCATTCGTACATATTGACGTGTTCTTTGTTGTCATATCTAATAGCCTAATTATAATGGAGAGTTGCAAACATAAAGCCCCGGCCCGATTCTTCAAATGTTGATTACTCTGAAGATCTTCTTCTGATAACTTTTGTTACTGCCAGTGTGTTTCTTGCGCTAAGTTACGGCACGTTTAGTGTTTTTTATTATTTGCACTAGAAATATAAACACTTAAATTTTGTTTTATAACAATGCCTTTGGTAGATATATTTTTTTTTAGTTTTCATGTTAATAGAATCTGTTTTGTATTATGTTTTGTATTAGTGTCTCGGGAACCTATACATTACTATTTTTGTATGACTAATTTTTCCTGATTTCATTTGTGAACTGTCCACTTTACACTGTACATGTTTTGTGTTTTTATATTTTCAGTTTTGTGTTTTCATACTTTCTGTTTTGTGTTTTTCATACTTTCAAAATATAAGCTATCTAAGCTTAATGCATGCATAATGTTACTGTTGAGTAACTTAAAAAACATTTTGCTCATATTTACCTGTTAATTGTATATAAGAAAGCTAGATGATCTTGCATATATGATATGTAACACATGTTGTGTAATTGATTTTTGTTGCTTAAATGCTTTTATTGTGTTAACAGATAACTGAATAAAGCTATTTTTTTCTAATCGATTTGTTATTTTCTTTTTTTAATCGGTAATTGCGCTGTTTACAATGAGATATAAATATTTGTTCTAGAGTCCCTAGTTTAACCAGGGCTCAAACTTAGTCTTTGCCGTGAGCATTTGTACTACATTAGCACAGCAAGCTATAAGACATGGTGAATCGTGATCCAGGTTTTGAGTGTATCTTCAGTAAAGTTTAACTATCCTAAGGAAATGTGCTCATATACAAATGTCAAGATTGTCTAGGGTTAGCCACTATTTTGAAATAGGTTTACTAATAATGACCGTATCGGAATGGTTAATTGTTTGCTCATATCTTCAACGCGTTTTTCTTTAAACAGCTTATTCTTGATCGGTAAATAATCTTGGTATCTAAAAGTACTGGTTTGTTTGACACCAAATATTGAAAGAAGCTAAACAGCACAGTTCAATTTAATCAACACAAGACCGAACTGACTGCTATTGATAAGGGAAAACGTAAAAGAAACGTCGTTCTATCATAATGCATTGACCCACAAACACGGTTCAAGTTTTTTATTTGCCGTGCAGAATACTTTCTTCATTAAATTCGACAAATTAATGTGTTTTTTTTTATTTCTTATTTAATTCTCCACATTGCAATATATTGCATTAGTTTATTTATTTTGAGAACTTAAAACTGTAGTTGATTTTCCTAAAATACCACAGCCCCTTTTATGTTTAACGTTCGTTTTTACCTATTTATTTGTTTGGCAATCTTTTTTTTAAATATTTTTCTTTCTGAATAAGGTAATTTATTTCTTTGGCAGGAGTAAGTACATTTATTTATTTTACCAAGTGACAATCCAAAACAGTTGTGTTTGGTGAGTATACCCTTTTTTAATGACAGATGTGATTTCTTGAGACAAAATTTAATTCTGAGTGAACAGGACAAACTCTAGATGTAATACAAGACAGTGAATGGGGCACTTGATTGATATGGTTGCGATATTAAAATGACATATTTTATTTCCTGTACATATTTTATATTGAAAATTATTGTTACTCGTACTAACATTGGTCTTCACATCATTACAAGATACTGTATAGACCGATTGATTTATCTTGATATACTTACACAGCTATAAAAACTAACCTTACTAATATTTGAGAAATTAATGTCCAAACGCTTTTCTTCTTTTATATTAAGCATATTTGTATTTTTTTTTTACATTTACATTTTTTACGCTTTTTCGATGCTATTTTAAGTTCATCTAACTATGGAAACTTTTTCTTAATCATTCTTATATATTTGATGTTATCAAGGGAAAAGTTTATTGACCGTTGGGTTCAATATTTTGAAGAAAAGTTTCCCTGCGAGGAAAATGCATTTTCTTCAGAGAAACCTCCGCCCGAAAACAGACATTGAAATTATTAGTGATATGCTAGTTTTGTATCGGCGATGCGTATTTGGTAGTTTGTTGTTATGATATAAATACTACAGGAAGATGTCAGGAATACATTATCACGACATAATCACTTTAGGTATGTTATCCGCCGACCTAAAAACCAATATTATTTTTGTAGTTAAAATTGGTCGAAGAGTATAGACATTCTCGAGGATAAACTGTGACGAACCACAAAAGTGCAGAACGCCGATAGCGCAAAATAAGAGACAACAGTAAAACTAAACAACTTCAGGTATGCGCGTGTCTTTAACGGGAATTTTTTCTTTCGTTCAGTAATTTATCAATATTTCAATTCTATCAATTTTTATGAGTCGCCTATGTGGTATTTCTAAATATTTTCTATTTATGCTAATATAGATATTACATAAGAATACATAAGCTAATCATCTTGGCGTGTGAAACAAAATGAAGATGACCAGTAAACTTAATCGCTGACTGGGAAACTCTCTCCGGATATATATCACTATTCTTATGCATATCAAGTAACTGACCCGCGCCCATTGGCTCCTTTTCCTTGCGTATAAAAAAAACCAAGACATTATTCTCCATTTTTTTGAAAAACCCCGTTGTTGAAACCCCCCCCCGGTCCATCGACGACAGCATGTTAAAAGTAAGGTTTCGTCGCTTCGGTCAGTTAAAATTAAATACGGAATCACTTATCAATAAAAAACATTATCAAATGTATTGATTCATCAAGTTATAATATAACCTTTCGTGTAACACTAAGTTTTAAACTAAACTTAGTGTCTGAAACATTGTCAAACGTTGACAAATGCGTTTTGAAATACATTATAATTTACATGTACATCTTGATAACTCTCAATACGAAGGATTAGTTTATTTCAAGAGATTGTCGGTAAACTGATTTATCTCAAGAAACGTTTAGAGAAATTGTCATATTGTGGTAGGAAAAGAGGTTTGGTCATAGCTTAGATTCCTATTCCATGTACATGAACTTCTCGTTTGAACAAAAAAGTATGTCAATCAAGAAACCTATTACAATTTTTTAATCACCACTAATTGTATTACTGCATTACATCTGAAAACTCTTTGATACAAAATTTGTTTTTAGCTCGACTATTCGCAGAATAATCGAGCTAATGCAGTCACCCATCTGTCGGCGTCGGCGTCCCTGTGGTTAAGTTTTTGTATGTAAGCTGGTATCTCCATAACTACTGAAGGGAATGGATTGAAACTTCACACTCTTGTTGTCTGTGATTATCTAAGATGATTGGCACAAGTCCCATAACTCTGATTTGCTTTTTTTGCATAATTATGCCCCTTTTTCGATTCAGAAATTCTTGATTAAGTTTTTGTGTGTAAGCGGGTATCTCCATAACTACTGAAGGGAATGGATTGAAACTTCACACTCTTGTTGTCTGTGATTATCTAAGATGATTGGCACAAGTCCCATAACTCTGATTGCTTTTTTGCATGATTATGCCCCTTTTTCGACTTAGAAATTCTAGGTAAATTTTTGCTTGTAAGCTGGTATCTCCATAACTACTGAAGGGTTTGTACCTTTTCGGACAATTTATGTATTCATATAGGTAAGCATTATTATACTCAATGAAACACCCTTGTGACAAATTTTCGAATAGTCGAGCGTTACTGTCCTCCGACAGTTCTTGTTGATTATTGAATGAAAATCTTTTTTTGGATACCATCCGTAGAATTGCAGAACGTCACGTCAGTGAACAACTTTCATCCCACAACAATCTCTGATTTGACATTAAAATTGTAACAGTGGTTTTAATTATCCCATTTTCCATGGCACTAGAGAAATATACTCAATTGAGATTGAAAGTTTATTGTCTGACATAGAATAAAATACTCCCATTTAAAGATCACTGTTGTAATAGAACACTATCATTTTGTTAAATAATATCTGGTCATTTCATGTTAAACTGTAGTTGATTGTGATATTTTCTAAAGTCATTATTTAGTTAAAAATATTTTTATTTAATCAAGTTAATTGACGTCTCAATTCATTTGCTTTTCGTGGCAACACAATAAATGATATCTATCGCATTATTTAATCAACGCAAAAAGGAAAAGAAGTGAATATTCTCATAGGTGTAATGAGGTTTTTCGTCAAAAAAGTAGTTTAAATAGATGCATGTTTTCTTGTAGTTTACAAGAATGAACTAATAATAAAGGTATAAATCGCTTTTAAATTTTATATACTTTATGAAAGTACGGCGATATAACAGATTTATCGAACAGACCAATACATAACTATTGTACGATTCGGGTTTTCTTGTACGATTCGGGTAAAAACATATTGATGGGAAGAAAATAATACACACCAGAACAAGTTGTTGCGTTTAATTATACCGAGCATGAACTGAATTGAAGTCACAAGAATTAGTTGATTATTATATAAAGTATTTCTATGTTGTCTATATTTTCAGACTACTACCGGTATTCGGTTTCCTCAAAGAAACATAGGTACAATCTTAAAATCACCATTTAATACATTTACAGGCGATGAAATCGGAAAACCATTGGTAAGACACATTACTTTCTTTCAGCTTGTAGAAAAGAAAATGTTCCTTGCTGGACAGAACATAATATATTTCTGACATGTTACAAGTTATAATCCGTCTCAACACGCACTT